CTGACTTCATAAATAGAAGTCATCAATCTGAGACAGTGTTTTGGAGACTGAAATTGATGTAAGCCTGACTTTTCATGTTAAAGGGAGGGATTACGGGAAAAGTAATTCATAGGTCATCTCACTAAAGAGCTTCCAGTGCTATGTCTGAAAAAATTCTTCCTTTGATGTTTGGGCCACTGAGTCAGAGAGAAAGATTTCCGTATGGATTCAGTGCTGTGGTGGGGGAAGTCCGTCAGATTAGTAGCCAACCCCAGTGTTCTCCCTGATAATTCCCATCACAGCGTTCTGTTCCACAAACACTTCTGATGTGGGCCCTGAGGATGCATCCCTGACTCTCAGACAGGAGTAGGTCTAGCCTGGCCTGTCTTCATTCCTCCCTTCTTCCTTTCAAGGTTAGAAGTCACACATGGATTTTGTCTGACTATTTGTCTCAGAGCCATTTCCTCTGTCTGCTGTACCTTTGAACACTGGTTAGTGGCCTTCAGTGATGAACAGAGGTGCAAATTCCTAGAGATTAGAACAAATTTCATTAAAGAGTACTTTACAAAGCAAAACAAAACAAAACATTGAGTTTACTACACACCAGAGTATGTTCAAGATCCTGTGTCTGAAGCGTAGTTAGGTCAGCCGCCTAATAACCACACTGCATAGCATCTGTGCTTTCAGCTCTGATGTCTGCTGGTTGAACTCTGCATTTTTCTAAATCACTGGGCTCTGGCTGTTCATATTGCTTCACTGAATCTTTGGATGTTTCTTTGTGACCCTCAGATATGTTTCATTGTCGGGTCATAGTTACTGCTAAAGATGAATCTATTTTGGAATATCTTGAAATTCTTTTGGGAAAGGTTTTCTGATTCTTCTCCTTTCCTCTCCTTTCTTCTCCATTCTTCTCTCTTCTTCTTCTTCTTCTTCCTCTTCTTCTTCTTCTTCTTCTTCTTCTTCTTCTTCTTCTTCTTCTTCTTCTTCTTCTTCTTCTTCTTCCTCTTCTTCCTCTTCTTCCTCTTCTTC